AACTATGGGGAGGAAGTGGGAGGGGAGCTGTTGCATTGTGGTAAATTGTCATCAATGTCATGAGACAAAGTATTTGTGAACTGCTGTATGCAAAGTGAATTTGCTCTGTAAATCTTCACTAAAATCACAATTAAAAAAGAAATCGGTGTTGGATTTTATCACATGCCTTTTCTGCATCGATTGATATGATCATGTGGTTCTTTTCCTTTGTTTTATTTATGTGATGCATGACGTTGATTGTTTATTGTTGAACCATCCTTGCACACCCGATATGAACTCCACTTGGTCATAATGTATTATTTTTTGGTATATTGTTAGAATCTTTTAACTAGGATTTCGTTGAAGATTTTTGCATCTATACTCATGAGGGTTAATGGTCTGTAGTGTTCCTTTTTAGTTTTCCTTTGCCTGGTTTTGTATCAAGATTATGCTTGCTTCATAAAATGAATTTGAGAGGATTTCATCCTTTTCTTGGTTTTGGAATAGTTTGAGTAGGATTGGTGTCAGTTCTTCTCTGAACATTTGGTAGAATTCTCCAGTGAAACTGTGTGGGCCAGGACTTTTTTTTGTTGGCAATATTTTTATGACCTCTTCAATTTGTTCTTTTGTAATGGGTCTGTTCAACTTTTCCACCTCAATCTGTGTTAGTTTAGGTAAGAAGTGTGTTTCTAGAAATCTGCCCATTTCTTCTAGATTTTCAAATTTGTTGGAGTACAGTTCTTCATAGTGTCCTGATTTTACCTTTCTTATTTGAGTTGGTTCTGTTGTGATGTCACCCAGTTCATTTCTTATTCGTGTTTTTTTTGTATTTCCTCACTATGGAAAAGAATCTTTTTAACAAATAACTCTGGGACAACTGATTAGCCACATGCAAAAGAATCAGTTGGACCCTTACCTCACACCATATACAAGAAATTATCTCAAAATGGATGAAAGACATAAATATAAGTGCTAAAATAATAATACTCTTGAAAAAAACTGGAGGTAAGTCTTCATAACCTGCAATTTGACAAAACATTCTTAGTTATGACACCAAAAGCAAAAGGAGGAAAAAAGTTTAGACTTCATCAAAATTTAAAACTTTTGTGCTTCAAACAATACTATTATGAAAGTGAAAAATCAGCCCACAGAATGGGCAAAAATATTTCTAAATTATTTATCTGATAAGGGATTTGTATTCAGAATATATAAAGAACTCTTACAACTAAATGTTAAAAGGCACATAGCCCATTTGAAAATGGACAAAGGATCCAAATGTATATCTTCCTTAGGAAAATAACTAAATGGCCAAGAAACACATGAGAAAGATGTTTAGCATCATTAGTCACCAGGAAAATACAAATCATAACCACAATGAGATATTCTTTTACACAGACTAGGATGAACAGAACCAAAAGGTCAGATAATAACAAGCATTGGTTAGAATGTGGAGAAATCTGTACCCTCATACCTGCAGGTGGGAATCTAAAATGGTGCAGCTGCTTTGGAAAACAGCCTGGCAGTTCCTCAAATGATTAAACAGAGTTACACTGTGACCCAGTAATTCTTGGGTACATACATAGCCATGAAAAATAGAAAAATGTTTACCAAAAACTTCTACATGGTTGTTTATCCCCATTACTATCTAGTTGATTATAACTCATAGTGACCCTACAAAGAGTAAAACTATTCCATAGGGTTTTCAAGACCATAAATCTTAATGGGAACTGCTACATCTTTCTCCCGTGGTGTAGCTGGTGGGTTTGAACCTCTGACCTTTTGGTTAGAAGCTGAGTGCTTAACCACTGCATCACCACGGCTTCTCAACAAATGTTTGTAAGTAACACTATTCATATAGTGTAAAGGTGAAAACAACCGACCTATCCATCAGCTAACTAATGGATAAACAAAATGTGTATTCATTCAATAAAATATAATTCCCATAAAAAAGAATTAAGTACTAATACATGGAACCACATGGATAAACTTTGAAAACATGCTAAGTGAAAGAAACCAGTCACACAAGACCCCATATTAATGATTCTATTCATATGAAGTGACCATTAATTATAGAGAAATCTATATCGATAGAAAGTACATTAGTGATTCCTTAGGGGTAGGGAAGATTTGGGGACAGCGTTTTTTAGCTAAAAGGTATAGAGGTTTCCTTTTGAGTTGATGAAAATGTTCTAAAATTGACTGTGATGAAGGTTGTGCATATCTGTGAATGTACTAATAAACCACTGACTTGTACACCTAAAATGAGATTTTAATCTTTCTAGCCAAGAAGCACATGAATTCACGTGATATGTGAATTATATCACAATAAACAGGTTTATTGCATACCTTTTGAAAGATGCAGGATTTAGTGAAATTGATGCAAATGATGTTAGAGACTAGAAAAATTATTCAAGCTTTAACAATGCAATTACACTATTCAAAAAATGGAGAGAAAATTGAAAAGGATATTGACACAATAGATGTTTACAAGAAAATGGCAAAGAATTAATAGACATCCCTTGTAGAGTTTATGAAACATTTGAATTCTTTCTTCCTAAAAACAATCTGTCATTAAGCTGTAGTATGTAAATATAAAGTGAAAATGTTTTTGCTTCTGTTTAATTTTTGAAGGGGAAAAAAAACTGCATTTGATTATCTATATTAAGACATAGTGTATAGTTGTTGTGTTCTTGTTATGTACCGTCGAGTTGTCACTGACTCATAGCGACCCCTCCTTGGGGTTCCAAGGCAGTATCACTACAGAAGTAGGATTGCCCAACCTTCCTTCCGAGGAGTGGCTGGTGAGTTTGAACCACCAGCCTTCTGATTAACAGTCAAATGCCTTAGGCACTATGCTACCAGAGCTCCTAGTGTATAGTTTGGTATGTGAAATTTTGTGGTCAAATGAGTTCAACTTATTTTCATAAAATAATTAGTTTCACTCTCCCAGTTCAAATAAACTATTTCTGCACTGTATTTGCTACAGATTTTGGGGCATGTTTTAAGTGAATTTGCCATTGGTGGCCTGTCTCTGGTGCTAAATATTCACCAGTGAGATTTTAATCATTTGATTTTAATTACTGAATTAATTATTTAATTTTCATCTTGACTGCTTTTTTTAAATCAGAATGAATTGACATAGTTTTGTTCACCTTCTCCATCTAGGAACGTGCGATGTCTCTTCCTTTTTTTAAGACTTTAAATTTTTCAGAAATGGTAAAAATTCTCTTGTAATGTTAGACATTTGTAGAAATTTTGCTCTTTCTAGCCACTTGTTTGGGAGCTCTGGTAACATAGTGCCTAAGGCACTTGACTGCTAACCAGAAGGCTGGTGGTTCAAACCCACCAGCCACTCCTCGGAAGGAAGGCTGGGCAATCTACTTCCATAGTGATATCACCTTGGAAACCCAAGGAGGGGTTGCTATGAGTCGGGGCTGACTCGATGGCACACAACAACAACAAGCCATTTGTTAATATATTTGTCTTCCTTTTTATAAATTATCATAGCTGATATGTAGGAAAATTTGGTGCTTATTTTTATCCGATCTTTTTATTGAACTATTAATTTAAATAATTCTCACCTTCATTTTCTGGTTTTTTAAGTAAACATTACTTAGAAATGTATATGGTAAATAAGATTACTTAAGATAGTAATGACTTTATGTCTTTCTCAATGTGTTTCAGATTGATACCTGAGTTTAATTGTCTGGAATTGCCAACCAGTGTTAAATAATGACAAAAATTGTTGGGTTTTTTTTCCTATTTTAAAGTGAAATAATGACTCTTTCTTATATACATAGGCTGGATTCTAGTGATATTTATAATGAGTTGAAAGAAACATATCCTAATTATCTTCCACTGTACGTTGCACGACTCCATCAGTTGGATGCTGAAAAGGTTGGCTGTATTCGTTTTTAATATCAGTATTTTGTTTGTTATAGTATATAAAGTTTATAATTTGAATAAGATGTATTGTCTTCTGTTTTTCCTGTCTAAAACTGTGTTCCACAAATTAGATGTTTACTAAGCTGTTTTCATTAAGCTTTTGTAAGGCCTGGCTGCTGTTCTCAATTTTGCTTAAAATTCTTGCTCCCATGTTTGGTCAGTGGAAGAAGTAGTAAAGATACCATGAGGATTACTTTTGTGATCTTAACCTAAAGAATAACCTTAACCTCAATACCTTCAGTGAAAGTATTCCTACTATAGAGTAACTTTGTTGATGATTCTCATTTTTGGGAATTAACCATAGTTCTAGAAATCTTAACTTAGACTAGCTCTTAATAGTAATTGTGGCAGTAAAGAAAGTACTAGCTGTGATCAGTCAAAAATTATCAAGGGTTTAGATTCAATAGAGGATGTTTAAAGAAGACCTTTTTAAAGACTTAAGTGACAGTAGCAAATTACTGAGAACACCATCAAAATAGTTGTTATAGCTTTATTATTTTCTTGTTTTCTATAATTTTGAGTTTTAATGGTAGATTAGAAAGAATTCATTTCATTTTGAATTGTATGCCAGTTATATTTTATACTTCTATTTTTATTTTTGTGGGACTAAAGTGACATAGCTGTTCAATTTTCTAAAATCTTTTTTTAAGATGTACAAAAAAGGAATTGAAAAAGCACTTTACATTTTTATGAACATTATATTTCACTTCTCATTTAACAACAACAAGAATATAAATTATATATTTTTATGTCTGAGCTGAAGTTTTCTAGAGATGCTGACAATTAATGAAAATTGGATTAGGAGATAGCCAGAGCCCCCTTGGTTACAAAGAGATTCCATTTTCCACTAACACTGTATTTGCAGTTCTTGTTGTCAAGATGATAAAAACAAAAATGCTCTAGTGCACTGATTGATATGTCAGTTTGTTTTTCTTATTTTTTCTTTTTTTCTCCTCAGGAAAGAATGAAAAGACTAAATGAAATTGTTGAAGCTGCAAATGCTGTTATCTCTCATATAGATCAGACAGCCCTAGCAGTTTATATTGCAATGAAGACTGACCCCAGACCTGATGCAGCTACTATAAAAAAGTACCTAACCAGTAAATACTCTTTCTTGCATCTCATTTCTTAGTTATTTTTTTAAAAGTTAGAGATTGATATTATTTAGTATAACCTTTTCTGCTGTTTGTTTATTATTGAAATGATCATGATTTGAGATACACCCTACCTTGGGAATTTTATAATTTTTTCCAATTCTTTAAAATTAAGCAAAAGGAAAGTACTTGTTTTCTTTGCCATTAGGTGCTGTCAAGAATTGAAGGGATTTGAGTAGCTGTGATAAAACAGTCCAGTCATGAGGATTTATGTGAACTGGATATATGGAAAAGACAAAAACATAACAATAATCTATAATACTAATTATTAAACTATTTATTGACTGATAGCATGAAAAACCTAAAATGTGTTTTGTAATACCTAGTAAAGTAACTGCCTCAACTAGATTTATAAGTGATTGATATATTTTCATCAATGAAGATTGTGATTTCCAAATACTAGTTTAAAGGTCCTACAACTCTTTGAACCAGTTTGGCATTTGGTCACGCACGCTTATCCTTCCATGAACTCTTACCATCCTGCCCTAGGAGTTCTCCCAATATCAGTTTTTCCTCTGTCATCACTTAGGTTTATTTTGACAAGTCATAATCTTAGGAGGATAGAGATATCTTCATTCTCTTACAGTTATTACAGCTAATAAACCAGAGTTGTCCAGGGTGGATTCCATCAGCTTCAGTCAGAACGTTTTTTTCTGCTGTGAAATATTTGAATTCTAAACTGCTAGAACTCTTGGTGTTACATTGTTTATACCCATATTGCAGGATCTTATGACTCTTACAAATAGTTTTCAACTTGACTAAAATTTATCCAAAATTATTATTTTTTCCATTGTTAATACTCTTTAATATTTTCCAAAGAAACAGTCTCAAAATATGGCCTTTTTTATTGTTAATAATAACACTTATTTTGTACAAAAGAACCATTTTAGGCATTTTAAATTCATTGTCTTATTAAATTTAATCTTCTAAACAACTTGTACATTATGGACTTTTTACCCCATTTTTACAAAAGATACTGATCTCAGGGAAGTTAAATGACTTGCCTCAGGTGATGATGCTAGGAAATGGGAAGATCTGAATTCAAACTAGGATCTGTCTCCAAAGCCTGTGCCTTTTCATTTCTTGGCAAGCAACTCTTTATATTCCTACCATCTGCTTAATCAGGTTAACATTCCTCTTTTTTTTTTTTTCTCATGGAAAAATACAGAAGCATCAACTCTTTTGCTTATATCTCTTTTGCTTTCATTTTTGCCTCAGAAAGTGAGGAGACTCTTCTCTGCAGGGCCAGCCTTTCTAGCTAAATACTGAATCTTCTTTCTCTTCCGTTTCCTTCCTAACTGCATGCCATGACTTTTTTTTTCCTCTTCAGTCTCACTTCAGGCATCTTCACCTCATCCTGTTGATGTTAGTTGCTAGTAGTTGTTGATAGTAGACATATAATGACCCACCTGAGCCTTGAGACATTCAGTATTCCATCTCCTGAGTGGCCTTCAGTTCATTCCAAGAATAGTGTACCCTGCAGTTTTACTTTCTCAGAAGTAATGTTATTACAGAATGTGACTGGCCTTGATCATGTTAAAATTACTTGTCTTCCATAGATTGCAGGTGATAACCAAATTGGCAAAAACAATGGCCTCTTTTGGTCATCTTTGACCTCCCTGCTCTATCTAAACTTACGTGTCCCTTATGCTTTTGTAGTCTTCGTTATATTTCTTACAATCTATGAGAATAATTTCCTCAAATTTAAGTATATATTAAATAACAATTTGGGGCTCATTTGGAAATTTTGGTAAACATTAATGTTCATTTATCTTCCTGATATTTTTGGCATTTATTTTTAAAATTTTACCATCCATGGAAGAAAATCTTAATTACAATTTAAAGTTAGCTAGAAGTACAGTATTATGTTTTTAGTCTTACACTAGTCATTTTTTTCTCATTATTTTTATCTCAATGTTTTTTTCAGTGTCTACTGCTTGGAGAATGCTGGACACTCTGACGCCAATGGCTACCAAAAAATATAATAAAATAGGGTACTGGCTTTTAAAGAACATAGCTTTAGAAACTGTTGAATATACTAAGATAAAACTAGAAAGGAGCCAAAAGACATTGTAAAAGTACTAAACTAGTGAAACTAGTTCAAATTTTGGGCAGCATTGAATCAACTTGTCCATCCTTGTAGCCAAACTGAAATGGACTTTGACCAGATTGTGTTTGAACAGAGGACCATATCCAGACTTGAAATATATTACTTTCAAGGCAAGATACTCTCAGGAAATATTTATAATTTCTTATATAAGTATTATCTGTTGACAGGTAGCAACAGACTGATTAATAAAAGCCATTTTGTAGTCTTAAAAAATAATACTCGCTTTTTCTGTGTGATCTAATACCAATTTTTAGTTAAATGGCAGTTTACTTGGATAGTCCATTAGAATATCTGATTCAAGTTAAAATGCTTCCTAAAATGTACCTTCATAGGTAACAAAATGGATTCAATTCAGAAGACATTTATTGAGGAAACACTATATGTAAAGCATCACTGAGAAGGATTTAAAAAAAGAGTAAGACACTCTGTGTCCTTAGGAAACTTAGGATGTAATGAAGAATGTAAAATTGCTGCATAGAATGTGATTAAGAGATAAAATAAATATTTTACATTGTAGAAGTCCACAACAAGGGGTACTGACTTTCTTGAATGGAAAAAGCCTCATAGATGGATGAGGCATTCCATTTGAACGGGTCAGTACTGAGAGGACGTTAGAAAAGGAATATTCAAAATATTTGGATCAAAGGATATGGGATATAGAAAATAATCTTACAGATCATTTAATTCAGGGCTTCCAAGTATAGATCATCTCTGCTACTTCCACTTTCTCTTCTTCTGCATTTTGCATCCTTCTACCCATTCTCTAGGCAGCATGTCAGTATTGACATGGAAAATGAAACCTGCCTTGCCAATCCAGTTCTGTTCCAGGGCCCCCTTTTTCCTTTGCAAAATGGAATGAACTGTGCCTGACTCCTAGAGTTATAGTAAAGAATAAATGAAATACTCCTAAAAAGACATTTAGGATGACACTCAGCATCTAACGGCTTGGGATGGGTGTGTGGGGAGGGAGGGGCAAGAGGCAAAGAGGAAACCCCCCCCCAAAAAAAAAACCGAAATCCATTGTGGTCAAGTGGACTCTAACTCATAGCAAACTTATAGGACAGAGTAGAACTGCCCCATAGGGTTTCTGTGACTGTAATCTTTATCAAGTAGACTGCCAACTGTTTGTCCTGTTGAGTGGCTGGATGGGTTCCAACTACTGACCATTTGATTGGCAACCAGTGTTTTAATCACTGCTCAGTAAATGAGAGGCTATGTAGATGTCCCCCAACTTTTAAGTTCCAAAAAGTTAATTATAAATCCTTTTGTTCTAAAGTCCAAATAAGCAAGAGAGAATTCTACTTAGACACATTTCCACAAAAAAAGTGACTGTTGGTTCTTTAAAGCTTTAAAACTCCTTGCTGATAAACTCTTAGGCATCTTTTAGGTATAGTTTCATCTATATTGCAAATGTATTAAGGTCAATAACTACCTTTTGGATGAAATCTACCAATATGAGAGAGAATTTCTTGCCAACTTGAGTAGTCACGTTCCTTCACCACTGACTTAATGTATAGGTTCGAATGGCCTTTCAACCTGGGAGAATATCCCACTCTCAGGAAACATTTCATTAGCAGCACTTTTCATGATACGTTACCTTCAGGTTCCTAACGTGTAGCCTCTTAAATTAACATAGGACTAATGGGTGTCTCCACTCCTCGGAAGGAAGGTTGGGCAATCCTACTTCCATAGTGATACTGCCTGGGAAACCCAAGGAGGGGTCGCTATGAGTCGGGGCCAACTTGATGGCACATAACAACAACAACAACAATGGGTGTCTAAGGTTATTGACTAACCATTGAGCACCTAAGTTGTTAGGTGCACTCCCTCTTTTTTGGTAATTGTCTTTCTTGGTAATTATTATTGATATTTTATAGCGTATCCCAGCAGATTTCACATGTTGATGTTTTGCTCTGGGTCTTTTCCGAGTCATTCTTACTGTTACTCAGTTGATCCTGTATCTAAGTGCCACATTGCCGTTTTCTCAGCACTTTCCATCCGCACTGCTTTTACGCTTTCTGACATGAATTGGACAGTGCTTCAACTAAGCAAAACATTTGAGAGCCTGAAACATTTCCCTACAGGGTATTTACTATTATATTTCATTCCACAACTCTTTAATGTTTGCTCTGTGCCAGGTGTTGTTCTAGGCATTTGGAATATATCAGAACAGAGATACGTATTGGGAAGCAAGGCACTTTACCATAGTGATGAAGAGCATGGCTTCCAGAGCCACACTGCTAAGCTTAAGATTCTTGACTAGCCACTTACTACCTGTGGGACCTTGAATAAATTGCTTAACCTCTTTGTACCTCATTGTCCTCCTTTGTAAAATATCTTACTCATAGAATTTTTTTGATTATATATAAGAGTTAATATGTTGAAATACTTAAAGTCAGTTGCTGGCACAACAACATAAACATGGCATTTACGCTTGTTGTGTTTATAGTTGAATGTTCATGACTAGAAAAGTTTCTATGTATGTCTATATTTACATGTAAACAAATATATAATAATTGTTATTTATAAGGAATCCAAAAACTTTAAAGATACCAATGTGATTAGGAGTTACATAGCTGACAGAATTTGTTGTTAGGTGCTGATTCATGATGACCCTCTCTACAACAGAATGAAACTCTGTCCAGACCTGCACCATCCTCACAACCATTACTGTATTTGAGCCCATTGTTGTAGCCACATAAACAATTGTATTGACACAATATAGAACCCATTGATCTTTCAACTCTATTGCTTATGGCATTCTATTTCAACCAAGTGCAAATTACCGAACTTGTATGGGTCATATAGTGGCTCATATGATGTCTATGAATAATAAGGAATCTTATTAGATTTATAATACAAATGTATGGACATAAATATAAAATATCTCAGCATTGTAAATCTTAAGGCAAAAACTACATGAAGAAGACTACACTTTAAAGAAATTTTACTGATGTGACATATGTTTTGGTTTGGTGTACAGCGATATGGACAAACAAAAATCTACCCTCGTAGATGCCCTTTGTCGAAAAGGATGTGCACTGGCAGACCACCTTCTTCACTCACAAACTCAAAATGGGGCTGTTTCATGTGATGGAGAAGGAAAAGAGGAAGAAGGAGAAAATGCTTTGGATTCTCTAACGGAAACTTTTTGGGAAACTACAAAATGGACTGATCTTTTTGACAATAAGGTAACCTTTCTGCTTCTCATTTTCTCGTAGTTCGTGAGGATTGCTTCAAAACCTCTTGTGCACCATTGGCTGCTTCACTGGGTCAGTCGACTCATCAGAAGGGGAGAAAAATAGAAGTCTTCTGAAAGTTGTCTGCATACTACCCCACATCTTTTTATATGGTGGTTGTTTTGGGGGAGGCTCTGTTTAATTTAGATGTTGTTATTTTTCCTCAAAACTCTTTAAACTGTAAATAATTATTATCTTTATTTGTAGTTAATCAGTTTAAAAACTCAGTTTAAAAAATAAGTTCTTTGGATTTTGATTATTAAAAACATTTTTAAACCCATTTAGCTCTCTAATGCATGCTGTAGAGATTATATAAGTTTTTGTAAAACAATTTTCCTGTGGCAATAAAGAGAATAAATGAAATCAGTACATTTCAGGAAATGATATAATAAAGTCATAGAATTCTCCTATCAAGTACCAGCCATTGTTTTCTTTTAGTGGATAAATAATTGTTTTCAGAATTGAGTATGGTAAATTGCAGGAAAGAATTCTGGAAGTGGGAGAAAAAAATTTGTTACATGCTTTGGGTTTTTTCCTAACAGTACAGTGGTATGTGTACATACTTGTATTTACGAAACCGAAGGGATTGATATTACACAGAGGTTACAAATTCGAACTAAAATCATACCCCTTGAGTTTGAATCCTGCCTCCACAACTTTTATCTATGTGACTTGAGGCAAGTTACAAACTTGGGTGCCCTAATTTCTTATCTATTGAATGAAGATAATGATATTGCCTGCAGACTGTTGTGAATGTGTTAAGGGCATAGAGAGTCTTCAACATATTCCCTGTCATTATTACAGCAGTTATTGTGTATCTTCTCTATGGTAAACATAGTATTTACGTCTGGAAACATTAATAAGAATCAGGTCCCTGCCTATAGGGAACTTAACATCTGGTCAATAAACCCTTGATGAATATCATAATAAAATTGTTTAAATAATTCTGTTTTTGCAGTGTTGTTGTGTGCCATCTAATCAATTCCAACTCATACTGACCTTAGAAAACAGAGTATAACTGCCCATAGGGTCTTCTAAGTGTAGTCCTTACAGGAGCAGATTGCCAAGTCATATATCATGTCCCTTTACCAACTTACCACCCAGGCTGCTCGTTTTTGCAATGGCACTATTGTATTTTTGACATGGAGTAATTAAAGGTAGAAAACTTATTCAAAGGAAGTAATTGAAAGTAATTACATGTTTATGTAACCTGATATTTTTCCTCAATTTTTGCCATTTACAGTTTTGGTAATGTATCATGATTCTTTATATTTTGTATTCTATCCTAATTTGCATTTTTAAGTCAATTTACATTTGTTCTGCTTTCTTTCACATAAAATGATAGTATAGATTCCAACAGCTAGAGATTTACTGTAATATATTTTTTTTCCAAAAAACATATTATTAGCTCTATGGTATACTCAGCTCTTTGGAAGAAATTATTTTTGTTTTTTAAAGATTTACTTGATACAACATATTCATTTAAAATGACACTTCTACTGAAGCCTTAATTCTTTCGTTGTTAAAATAGCATGCCTTGAAACGTAAACATTTCATAGATAAGCTTTATCTTGTTTTATATTATAGGTTTTGACATTTGCATACAAGCATGCACTAGTAAATAAAATGTATGGGAGAGGCCTTAAATTTGCAACTAAACTTGTGGAAGAAAAACCAACAAAAGAAAACTGGAAAAATTGTATTCAAGTAAGTGATATTTAAATGTCATATTAATATTGCATAGTGAAAAGTTAGGTAAAAAGTGTTAGGTATTGACACTGATTATTACTATGGAGTCTCTGGACAGTACAAAAGGTAACCAAAAGGTTCAAAGTTCAAGCTCACCCAGAGGCACCTTGGAAGAAAGACTGGGCAATCTACTTCAAAAAAATCAACATGGAAAAGTCTATAGAGCCTAATTCTATTTTGACACACATGGGGTCAGTGTGATCGGAATTCACTCTATAGCAGCTGTTGTTTTGTTTTGTTATTTTTAATTATTACTGTAACTAAGGTCAAGTGAACTCTGAAATAAATGCATGAAAAATATTCAGTACACAATTTAAACTTTTAAAACAGTTCTAGTCCTATGCAGAAACCTATATTTAGCTTCACTTTTTTTTATTTTTACTTTATTGTGATTTGAGTGAACGTTTACAGAGCAAATTCACTTTCCATACAGAAGCTCACCTACACTTTGTCTCATGACATTGACCACAATTTCCCACAATGCAACAGCTCCCCTCCCACTTCCTCCCCATAGTTACCTATTCCCTGTGTCCTTCCCTCCCATGCACTCGTGCCCCCTGAGCTGTCTCCCTATGCATACACAGCCTTTCTATTCTCCCATGATTGTTCTCTACAGGGAAAGTATCTACCTAATGTAAATATTCAGCTCATACACCTGTCTTTTGTTTGGCTGGAGGCCACAGGAGTGGGTCTAATTCCAAACCTGAAGGGCAGCTAGGGGCCATGGTCTCAGTGACTCCATCAGGCTCCATCAGACCGGCAAACCTGGTCCCTTTTTTTTTTTTTAAATGATGACTTTTGTTCCACATTGTTCTCCCACTCTATCCAGAATCTCCTACATAGATCTCCCTCCGAGTGGTTGACAGTGGTAGCCGGGTACCATGTAATTATTCTGGTCTCATAGTCATATAGGCTAAGGATCACATGGTGTACCAGTAGCTTGGACTAATTCTTTCCATGAATCTTTGGTTTTCTTCATTCTTCTTTACTTTGGACAATGAGAGACCCATTGTTGATCTAGACAGCCACTCACAAGCTTTTAAGATCCCAGTCACTACTCGCCAAAGTAGGATGTGGAACAGTGTTTTGTGTGGTATGTTAATGTTAATTGAGCTTGATGTCCCCTGCAACTGTGATTCCAAGCCCATAGGTCCAGCCACTCACTCCTTCTGGGTAGCAGGCTGTGGCCAAGAAGTGACTACAACCTTGTCCCTTATCAGCTCTACTGTATACCTGGGAATTCTTACTGAACATACCAATACAGTTGTAGAAGCATTGTCTCCCAACCCTCCACGTCCTCTTGGACACACTCCCTCCTGCATAGACATACCTAATAGTTCAGCCAGTCCACCCATCTATCCAACCATATATCCATGTTTGCCTTCACTGACAGCGCAGTACTGTGTGGCTTCACTTGGTTTTAGTAACTGTTGGTCAGTTGTCAGCATAGGCAAAAAAAGAAAATTTTCCTTCATGAAAGAAAGAAATAGTTTCTTTTAAATAAATGTTTTATTCAATTCCAAAAGGATTGAACTTCCAGCATTAAGTTTGATTTTATTCTTCACTTAAAATGATAGGCCATTTCATTAATTATTTTGCCAAATATTACATTCAGACAAATTCTGTAGTTGAGCTTTCTGCACAGTTGTCAAGTATAAAAATTTATTAAATTCTACCAAATCTGTTTTAGTCTTATTTTGTCTTTATGCATACATAATTTACACCTAAAGGATACATGAAGGAAGGGGAGTTTTGGTGATGCCAAATTGGCCAAGGGTCTAGGTTATTATTCAGGTTGTAAAACTGACAAGAAATTCCTATAGAAGTGTTTGACAGTGAGTACACTATAAGTTATTTATAGTCTTGGAACTTTTTCTGTTTACCCTCACTAGTCAGAGCAAATGTAAGACGTTTTAAATCAGCTTCTTCAGATCTTTGAACAACTAGATTAAGACAGCCCTTTCTGGAACTGGTTGTTAGTATTTCTTGTCTACTGTGATTCTCATCACATAGAATATAATCAGTCCATAAGCTGTTTACATCTGTGAAGCTGGTGATCTACCCAGACATTCATATCAGGACATGTTTTATGTTTTAACTTGTTTCCTCTCTACTGTACTCCCCTACTATCTGTTCTTCACTTCTTCACATAGCAGCCAAAAAAAAAAAAAAAGAGATACCTTTTGACACCTACTAGTGAATCTGTATCACATTTAGAATACAGTGGAACACCTCACTGTGGCCCATAATGCCCTACAGTATGGCCCTTGCTTACCTCTCTGAAGGTATATTTCATCACATTTCCCCTTCTGTACTCTCCTTTTACCACATCATCTATCCTTCTTTCTCTTTTGCTAAAACAGACCTTGGCACTAACTGTTCTGGTTTTGTAGAATACTCTTCACTAGATTTTCAAGTGACTGTGTTTTTGTCATTCAAATTTCAATATAAATGTCACCTCCTCAGATCTTTATCATCTAACTTGACTAACTTATAAGTCACTGTATTACATCAAGTTTTATTTTTTACTATGTACCTAATATAACTTGTTTACTTATCCATTCATTTATTTGCTTACTTATCTTTCCTAAACAGAACCTAAGTTTCCTGAAAGTAGCAAGTGAGTTAGTTCAATGCTGTTTTCCCAGTGCCTAGGACAGTGTTTGACTTATAGTAGGCATTTAGGAAAAATGAAGGAAAGGAAATTAAGTTGGAAAGAAGAACGAGAGCAAGTAAGTTAGGTTGGAAGGAATAAAGGAAGAGGGAACAGAAAGAAAATGCTTGGAGTAACAATCAGGAGAATAGGATGGCAGGAAGGAATAAAAAGGTAGGTTGGCAAATAAGAAAGTTGTTACTAGGAAGAATATTTAGTTAGTAGGAAAATTGGATGATTGGTTGAGAGAAAAGAAGGTTGGTTGCTTGGTAGGAGGAAAGGTTCTACATGCTACTCAAACCAAAGCAAACCATTGCTGTAGAGTCCATTTGGACTCATAACAACACTGAAGGACAGAATAGAACTGGCCGATAGGGTTTCCAAGGCTATAAATCTTTACAGAAACAGACTGCCACATCTTTCTTCTGTGAAGTGGCTGGTATGTTAGGACCACCAAATTTTTGGTTAGCAGCTGAACACTTAACCACTATGACAGCAAGCCTCCTCATTATTATTATTCAATACAAAATTTACCCTAAATATTGAGCCTTAAAAAAATCTCTTATTTAATAATACATTGCTCTGTTTTGTTTTAGCTGATGAAGTTACTTGGATGGACTCATTGTGCGTCTTTTACTGAAAACTGGCTCCCCATCATGTATCCTCCTGATTATTGCATATTCTAAAATGGGAACCAAGACTTAAAATTTAAAAAAAGAAAGTTTTATAGTGAATGGATATAAAAACAAATTTGTGGCATTTTTAATCTAATGCATGTTTTCATCTGCTATCAAATACTGATTATTAAATGATGTGTATTTATCGGAGAATTCACTGGCGTGTGGCTTAATACATGTAAATCTAGACTTCTGACATCATGATGTTTTCTTCATGCCTCACATTGCTGGCAACAGGATGTGCCCTGACTGCCAGCACCAAGGACTTTCAGTTGGGTTGCAGATTATTACATGCATGATAGGTTCTGAGCAGTAACTGCAAACCTATAAAATTTTATTTAATTTATAAATGAACAGGGTTTTAACATGCTTGACTTTAATTTTTTAATTGTATGAAGGCCTTAAAAAAAGCTGCATTAAGCATAGCTAAAATCACTTGTTGGAGTAAAAAGTAACAACCTCATTTCCAGATATTTTTGCTTTCTTCTTTTTTTTTTTTCGTGGCAAACACTTACATTCAACTAAGGGAAAAGATAAAACCATCACAAATGTGTGGCAGTTGCTGGAGCATAAGTGATTCAGTAAATCTTCATCTTGGAGTTATTTCAGGCAGATCATTTTTAGTATCCTCTTGAAGGTGCAGAGCATCAAAAGGAAGTAATAATACATGTATAAGTGCCAGACAGTTAAGTCTTTATCAGGTATTGTAAAGATACACATATGATATGTTTATTAAAGTTGAAATAATGTAAAACACATGAATAAATGTGCAAAACCAAGATCACAGTACACCATTTGCACTCTGATACCTTAATTTTTTTTTTTTTTATAAATAATAAAAATGAATATTGAAGCTTCTTAAAGTTGGTCTTAATTTTTAATAAATAAAATTTGGGTTTAGATCAGAAATAATATATTAAATTCATAGGAAAAAATAAATCAACATGAGATAATTTATTTTATGGTGTTTCTTATGGACTTGCAATTATTTTAATGTATTTTGAATTCTTATTGTGCTATCAATAACAACTTTTGTGTATTTTACCTTTTTATTATTTTTATCTTTCTAGCTGCTACCCGTGCTTTTATCACCCTCTAAAATAAACACACATAAGTAGACAGTATTCAGAAGTCTATTTTTACTTACCTAATAGCAAACAGTGTATGTATGTGTGTGTGTGTGTATACATATGATTTTTCTCTGTCATCCCCTTAGAATTTACTGCTGCAGAAGATTTTCCAGTAGTCTTATCTAGTTGTTCCTAAGTGTTTTGTGGGTAACTGACCTATTTGTATCATGAAAACATCAGAGCCTTTCTGGAAAAATTAAATATGCATATTAAAATAATTTGCACATAGTTTCTGGGGTATTAGATTCTAAAGAGATCCATCTATGAATGTCCACATGCATGTTTGTATATATACACATATATTTTCACCTAAACAGGTCACCATGTATACAGGTTTAGTCTACTAAGGGAATTGAGAAGCTCAGAAAGAGTTGAATGACTTCCCAAGGTCATACTGCTGATTATTTATTAACTTTAGAACCTGTCTTAGAAACCCAGTTTTCTAACTCTTGTCATTTCTGGCAAATACTAACAAGAGAATGGATTGATAGGCTATGACCCTTCTGCAAGAATCACTGCCTATTTTTGTAGAGTTTTGTTATTATTAGAACATAGTCACTTTCATTCATTTATATATTCTTATACTTTGACTGTAATCCTTTGAAATACATTTAGACTTGTTTTATGACCTGGCAAATGGTCTGTCATGGAGAATATTCCATATACATTTGAGAAGGATGTATATTCTGTTGTTGGGTAAAGTATTCTGAATGATTCTTAATCTAGTTGGTTGATAGTGTTATTCAAGTCTTCTCTATTGGTTTATCTTTTGTATGGTTGTTATACCTGTTATTGAGAAGGGAGTATTGAAGTCTTCCACTGTTGATGAATTGTCTATTTCTCTATTCAGTTCTCTCATCTTTTGCTTCATATATTTTGGGACTCTGCTGTGAGGTGGCTATAAATTTATCATTGTACATTTTTGATAGATTGATAGTTTAATCAGAACATCCCCTTACTTTTAGTAACAATTTAAAGTCTATTTTGTCTGATGTTTTCTCTGATATTAGTATAGCCATTCTAGCTCTTTTTGGTTATTGTTTGTATGATTGGTATATCTTGCTCCATCCCATACTCTAATTTCCTTGAATCTAAAGTTTATCTCTTGTAGACAGCATATAGTTAAATCACATTTTGGTTTTTTAGTCCATTCTACTAGTCTCTGACTTTTAATTGGTGTGTTTAAACCATTGCCATTTAGAGGAATTACTAATAAGATAGGATTTACATCTTCCCTTTTGCTATTTGTTTTCTGTATGTCTCATCTTTTTTTTTTTTTATATATTTGTTCCTCTGTTCCTTCATTACTGTTTTATTTTGTGTTAAATACATAACGCTCTAGCGTACCATTTTAATTCCCTTCACTCTTTTTATTAATTTTTTGTTGTTATTTTCTTATTCGTTGCCCTGGGGATTATAATTAACATCTTAATTTACAACAATCTGTTGTTGTTACATGCCTTTGAGTAATCTCCGACTCAGAGCGACCCCTCCTTGGGTTTCCGAGGCAGTATCACTACGGAAGTAGATTGCCCCAATCTTCCTTCTGAGGAGTGGCTGGTGGGTTTGAACCTCCAGCCTTCTGGTTAGCAGTCAAGTGCCTTAGGTACTACACCTCCAGAGTGCCCATACAGAGGTTTAGCTAGGTACAATTATACAAAGATTCCATATTAGCTACTGTTTTCTGCCTAGATGACATGCGTTCCATGGTGACAACTGAACCTGAGTAAGCTCTAGAAGAAGGTGTTTGCAATAAAATACTTAACTGTGTCTGTATGATGATGAGACAAAAAAAATAAAGGGCTTTTGAAAGTCAAGGACAGTTTTCTTGTTTCTGGTAATGGTAGCCAATGTTTTCCCAACACCCCATCTGAAAACAACTGAAATAATAACTTTTTAAAAAAAACATTGGAAATGATATGGCATTGTATGCAATAAATACTAGTTCCATGGCCCCTTTCCACTGATCAAAGGTGTTTTGTACTTTTTATTTATAGAAATTATGCCATCTCAAGGGATTTCTCACTCATTCCTCATTAGTTACTTCATAGGATAATTTAATATTGTACAATCCTGAAGATGAGCCTCCTAGGTTGGAACGCACTTAAAACGCACAGTGGTTGCAACAAGGTACTTGAATATACCAACAATCTTAACTATTGTGCGTGACTGGGCAACCTTTCATTTTGTACATGGTATCAATATGAGTTGGAGTTGACTCAGCAACTAACAACAACAGGATAACTTCTCTCTGCCTTAAAAAAGCCAGCCTGGTTTCCCATTAAGGCACCACTAATCTCAAACCTCTTCTTCTCACTCTGCCCCTCAGGTCCCCTCGCCACCTCCTCTTTCAGTCCTAGAAATGCAGTGTCTAGAGGCTGAGTGGCTGTTAAAGAAGCTGCATCTGGGATCTGTGAACCTTGTATCTAATTCTTGCTCAGGCACTGTTGTTGTTATGTGCTTTTGAGTCGGACATGACTCATAGTGACCCCTCCTTGGGTTTCCAAGGCAGCATCACTACGGAGGTAGATTGCCCAACCTTCCTTCCGAGGAGTGGCTGGTGAGTTTGAACCACCAGCCTTCTGGTTAGCAGTCAAATGCCTTAGGCACTATGCTACCAGAGCTCAGGCACTAAGAAGCCAAATCTTTTGACCCCCATGGATTAATCTAGAAAATAAGATATATTCAGTGATTTTTAAGTCTGTTCTAACTCAAAAATTAATTTGAATTTACTGAGCCCTTTTTTCCACTGTATCATTATCTACTCTCACTTTGTCTTTTCTTCTAGAATTAATCTTGTCTATGTATCCACAGATAATGTGCCCCAAAGGACTGCAAAAGATGGATTTCTGTTTTATAACCTCTAAAGGTGTGTACTACCTCTTCATATGACAGGAAAATGGACAGAAAACATCTTTTGCAGCCCTTTCAAAATCACATTTTCACTGTTGATACCAATAGTGTTATTATTTGGCACATATATTGAAAAGAAGGATACCTGCCATTGACTTTAGATAAATCACTTAAGATTTCTGCAATTCTGCATCCCAGTACCTACTTAAATAAAATACTTCTTGCCAGTGAACAAGGAGCCTGTAGTTGAGGAATGAAAAATCCAATGAACTTCCATATACATACCCAGAATGGAAAGTTGGAGTGACAGCTCTTCAGCAAGCATCTGCTGTGGTTCTTGCAGTGGATCTTGGCTCAGATTATCATTCATAACAGTGAGTTCAATGAAACATTAATGAAGTTCTGCCAACGCTTGGGTCCTTACAACTAGCAAGAAAGAACAAGAATGGAGCGTGTCCTTTGAACTCAAGGTCCCAGCAACTGAGAATCTCCTAGACCCAGGGGAAGATTGATACCAAGACACGTGGAGATCTCCAAGGAACGCCAGGCCCATAGATGTTGAAAGAAAACAGGGACCTTCCTCCAGAGCCAGCAGAACGAGTCCTCCGAGAGTTGGCACGCTGAATTTGGATTTCTGGCCTCCTAAACTGAGAAGATACATTTGTTTGTTAAAACCACCTATGTATGGTGTTTCTGTTCTAGCAGCACTAGATAGCTAAGACATATAGTAAGTTTCTCTTTAACATTTTAAACACTAACAGAAGGAGCACTGGTAGTGTAGTGGTTAAGGCATTTGGCTGCTAACAAAAAGGTTGGTGGTTTGAATCCACCAACCGCTCCATGGAAGAAAGATGAGGTTGTTTGCTTCCATAAGGATTTACAGCCTTGGAAACCCAGTGGGGGTTGCTATAAGTTAGAAATGACTTGATGGCAGAATTTGGATTTTAAAAAAAAAACACTAACTTTTACAAGGTGGCCATATGCTTTTATATTCCCATTAGCCATGTATTAGTGTTGCAGGTTCTTCACATCCTCATCAGTATTTGGTATTTTTCTACAAAAAAAATATTTTGTAGAAGTGTTCTCCTAGTTTGTTTCTTAATGGTGTGTTTTGAAGAGCAAAAGTTTTAATTTAGATAAAGTCCAACTCAACATTTTCTGTTT